CACTCCCTTTGTCCCAGCTGACGAGGAAGTCTGTAAAATTCGAGTAGACAGACCGTTGTGAGTCGAGTTTTCAAGAGCTGAAAAGGAGGCTTACGACGGCACCGGTGTTGACTATTCCAGATCCTTCTCAGAGCTTCACTATCTATAGTGATGCTTCGAGGCAGGGTTTGGGATGTGTACTTATGCAAAATGGCCAGGTCGTTGCTTATGCGTCACGCCAGCTTAAAATACATGAACAAAACTATCCGATGCACGACTTGGAATTAGCTACAGTTGTTCATGCCCTCAAGATTTGGCGACACTATCTATACGGCGGTCAGTGCGAAATCTTTACTGATCATAAGAGCTTACAGTATATCTTTACTCAAAAGGAGCTCAACATGAGAACTCGTCAAGGATTACGATTGTACGATCCAGTACCATCCGGGAAAGGCGAATGTTGTTGCTGATGCCCTAAGCCGCAAGGTGAAGGGTGACTTGACATACGTTGTTACTCAGCAGAGTCAGTTGATTCATGAGTTCGCCCGGATGCAGATCCAGCTGGTTGATGCACTTTCTACAGCCAGTTTGGGGAGTGTGAATTCCATGCAGGTTCAGCCGACGCTGAGGGAGAGAATCCGGCAAGAGCAGGCTTCAGATGAGTTTATTCGTACGATTGATGCCAAGGTTCGTGCCGGAGGCGTCGAGGGTTTTCACCAAGGCACCGATGGGGCCTTGGAGTTTCGTGGCAGGATTGTGGTGCCTAAAATCGAAGCATTGAGAAAGGAGATTTTATCTGAGGCTCATACTGCACCCTATCTAGCCCATCCAGGAAGTACAAAGATGTACCATGACCTGAAAGGGTCGTTTTGGTGGAAAGGATTGAAGAAAGATGTTGCCGACTTTGTAAGAAGATGTTTAACCTTTCAGCAAGTCAAGGCCGAGCATAAGAGTCCCATAGGCCTTCTACGACCACTGCCGATTCCGAGGTGGAAGTGGGAGGAGGTTGCGATGGATTTTGTCACGGGGCTATCGAGGTCATCTGAACATCACGACGCTATCTGGGTCGTGGTCGACAGATTGACTAAGGTTTCCCACTTCTTGCCAGTATCGATGAGTATGTCTTTGGATCAGTTTGCTGAAATTTATGTCCGTGGGATCGTTCGACTCCATGGAGTACCTGTTACTG